ACTCGGACCAGCGATCTCGAACAGTGGCTGAAATCAGTTGCAAAATTATGCACCCTCTCGTTGAAGCGACTAGGCAGTATGTTTGTTTTGTATTTATTAGAAAATTTCAGACTCTAAGCTAGAGAGTGGATCCGTTTATTGAATTAAGCTGATTTTAGATGTTGTCTTTAGGTATTACTAATATACTTTGTGCGCGCATGTAACAAAGGGAATCAGCCTCTTCTTAGACAAATCTAAAGGCGCTCTCCTAATAAGTCTTAAAAAATACCCTGAAGTAGATAATATCCAGGATCAATTTTCCAATTCTAATGCAACTATATAGCAATTGATAGCACAACTAAGAAATAGTCAGAGCGCCGTGCAAAGCACAACTAAACGGTTTATGTGCGCACTCATCCATAAGACGTACGGTTGTTATTTTCCGTGACTCACTAGATATATCTCACATCTCTAATATCAATATAGGATGTACTCTCATGATACTACATCACTGGCGCTGTCTGACGATGGTCCAAACCGAGCCCTAATACAGGGATTCCACAACAAATCTCACCCACATCTGACTGGCACGGCTGAAAACTCCAAATACTAATACCAAAATAAGAGAGTGGTTATAAAACTCCAATCCGGACTCTCCACCTACTTCACCCACTTGTGGGGCAGGTCGAATAAAAATATGATTAAAAAAAAGAGGAAGTGGTGGATGAATGGGTCAAAGTAGAATAAAAGAGAAAAAAAAAAGGGGCACATGAGTTGGTATGTCAAAAAGTAGAATAAAAACAAAAGTGCACATGGGTTGGAAAGTAACATGACCTCGTCAATTATTTGTCCATAACCAGTTCCTTTCTCCTTAAACCAGTATGGGATTTTTCTCTTGGTAAATATGATGTTATCATCGGGGAGACCCGGCAAAGCAAATGTCTCTGTAACATAGAACAAGAACCTGGGAATGCCGAGGCGAGCACCAAGGTCGGCAGTCCAGGGATGGAACATGTCGCTGACGATGCAATCAGGGCGGCGTCGTTTGAAATGATCGCCGATGACCTGCGATTTTGGACGCCGATCACGAGGTTGAGATTTTCCGGCGAGGAAAAGAAGCAGAAGCTTCCGAGATCGCAGGATTCGCCTCCAAAACAAGAAAATAATCTGAAAAATAGTAAATGGATGTTTCAAAACCTATTGACAATTTACTCAAGAATTCCCGACATTGATTCCGGTTAGATTTTTTATGGGTCCGACAAGACTCTGTAAACTGTCCCTACATTGATTCCGGTTAGCTCCTTTATGGGTTCGACAAGACTCTGTAAACTGTCCCGACATTGATTCCGGTTAGCTCCTTCATGGGTCCGACAAGACTCTGTAAACTGTCCCGACATTGATTCCGGTTAGTTTCTACAAGGGTCCAGCAAGACTCCGTAAACTGTCTTCTACACCGGTCCGACATGACCCCATAAACTGTCTTCTACATCGGTCCAACACGAGCCAGTGTCTTCTACATCGGTCTGCCATAACCATACAGTCTTCTACAACGGTCTGACACGACCATACAGTGTCTCCTATCCATTTTTTATTTTTCAGATTATTTTCTTGTTTTGTTACTCTCTCCAAACTCAAGTTGGTTAGTTCCTATCCCCCTTGAGTTTGCGGGGGGCTGTTAAAACCTACCATCACCTACTCCACCTACTACACCTACCACCACCTACTACCACCTACTCCACTACATCTCCTATATAAGGAGCCCCTCACCATTTGTAATAAATAACATACAACAATCAATAATACAATTATTTCTCTTTATACATTAAATTTCTACAATGTCAAAACTTTTGCTAAAAGATTGAATACAATAATGAAATTACCGGAATGTCTGTATTCATGCCAATGCAGGTCACCGCATTGTGTCCAAAACCTGTCAACTTCAATGATGTCTCCTCTGGAGCAAGCCTCACTGCATAAACAATATCAACTATTATCACCTCACAAGTTGCAACCAAAAAATTCCATAAGCATTGGAAATATGCGCCTTTCATTTAAGAGCCGCAAATGAAAACATCATGGTGAACAAACAGTAAATGCAGCAAAACTCTGAATATTTTTGACACATGGCACATGCTAGCAGCATAAGAAAAGAATTACCAAACAGTTAATCTGAACTTATGCCCAATTAATTAAATGGCCCCTATGAAAATTGGGCTGGTCTTAGCTTTCTCTTTGTTTTATTTTGCAAGGCTGCTTTTGCTGACTTCAGATATTAAGCTTAAGAAACCAGAGTAACAAAAAAAAATAACAATAATAATTCAAAGGAAAATATAAATAAATTTCTAGTTCAAAGAATGAAAATCACCTTTCACATGTTGAATGTAGAAATAAACAGAAGCCCTCGAAGTAATTTATTGTGTAGGCTCCTTCACTATTTTGCTATATGTTTACCATATTGGATGTACTTTTCTAAACTATTATTGTCTTAGGGATAATTATATTTTCTTTTCATCCTTGACATCCTAAACACATTTCTATACAAGCATGTTGGCAAAATTAAATGTGTCAAAATGTCCTATTCATCACAACCAAAAAAAAAATATGCAGCAAAGGAAATAAAAGTATCAAGCTGTTAATAAAACCTTATGCCCAAATATAAACCAAATCTACATGTTCATATTTATGGTTAGGTATTTTCATCTAACTGATGATGGTGTGAGTTCAGCACAATTTTGACACCTATAAATGGTTGCCTCATAGGATGGGGTATATACCCAAAAACAAAGAATCGACATAGACCAGGAAGAGGGATAGAAAGGTAAATCCAATAAATACACCAAAAAGAAAAGGGCAACAAAAAGAAGTAAAATAACAGTAACAGATAATGAAGTTGAAAGAGACTTGACTCAAGAATTGCATTTGAACTCTGATTATGACCTAATTTAGTTGTCATTAATAGAAAAGGCCATATACTTAATAATTTAGATCTCAGGGAAAGCATAGTGAATCAAATCATGTCGGTTTGATCTTGGCAGACATGTATATTTTAGGTTGAGCTCGACTTGAATTCGGCCCAACTTTACCCAACCCAGTTTGCACTAAAATTGGCAAATTTAGTCCAGGTCTGTACAACAGCTGCAAAATCTCTAAAGAGATAAGCATGTACCATTCCATTAGTAATTTGAACAGTAAAACTTCTAATTTGAAATTTTAAGACATTTTCCGATTATTTAGTAGGTTTTAACTTACAGTTGAATTTCTTCTTTGGTATCTTCCCATTGTTGAGTGAATAAAGGAAGTTCTTCACAGTATCAGCACTAAATCGAGCAGTATACTGCAAATAAAGAAAGTGCTTGACATTGAGATAGCTTAAGCAGCAGGTTAGGTATTGACCTCAACAAAACACGAGATACCTGAACCACAACAATATAATACTTCGAATTGTTTCGATCACTACAATCAGTTACATTAGAAGGGGCTTGAGTATTGACCTGCATAGTATAAGAAGAATGGTTCAGGACTTGGTTAATTAGAGTATTTTCATTTTTCACAAACTTACAGACGGCAAAGGACTGAGATAAAACAGAGTTAGATGTTTTGGAAATTGAAAAAAGTAGAACAAAGTTTGGCACAACAGTGTTGTTATCATTTTAATCATCATTCATAGTTGTCTCATATTAAAAAATATCATATTATTCATATCTCTCTAAAGAAGTTTTGAACTTCATCCTCTTTCATTCATCATTAACCAAACTCCAATATTCTACAATCACTCATATTTATATACAATGAATCTAACTAACAATCTAACAAACACTACAACTAACTTGTAACTAATTCTACAAATATCTATCTAAATATCTAACTATAATATCTGAGATGATGACTAAGCAAAGCCGAGCTTGAAGCTGTGGTTGGAGCTGCAGGTGAAGCTGGTTCTTGGAGCTGGAGTTGAAGCTGCTTCTGCAGCCTAAGCTAGCTGAGATAGCTGAGCTATCTGGGATAGGATCCTCAACATTCCCCCGCAAGCTGAAGGAGGGAGAAACCGACATAAGCCTGTCTTTAAGATAGAAGAATCTGGAGACAGATAAACGCTTAGTGTAGATGTCAGCCAACTGATCAATGGTTGGTATGTAATGCAACACCAGTCTTTTAGCCAGCACTTGATCTCTAACAAAATGGCAGTCGACTTCAATATGTTTAGACTTAGAATGGAACACTAGATTAGAAGCCAGAGCAATGGCAGAAACATTGTCACAGTAGAGTAGAGGAGCTGTAGGAGGAACAATACAAAAATCCTGAAGTAACATACCAATCCAAGCAAGCTCTGCAGCTGTATGAGCTAGAGATCTTTACTCTGCTTCAGTAGATGATCTAGATACAGTGGCTTGCTTTTTAGAGGACCAAGAAATGATGTTGGAACCTAAAAATACACAATAGCCTGAGGTAGATTTTCTGTCAACTGCATCTCCAGCCTAATTGGAATCTGAGTAGGCATGAAGATCAAAGGAGCTGGGTGTGTAAGTAAGACCATGAGAGATAGTGCCTTTAATGAACCAAAGTAAATCTTTTAACACCAGCATAGGGACCAACAGTGGGATTATGCATATGTTGACACAATTGATTCACTGCAAAAGAGAGATCAGGTCTGGTAATGGTTAAATATTGTAATGCTCCAACTATGCTTCTATAGACAGATGGACTGTCGAAGGGCTGATCTGAATTTGGTGGCAGACCAGGCTTGACAGAGATAGGAGAGGAGCAAGCCTTGCAATCCAACATACCAGCTTTAGTAAGTATGTCCTGAGCATACTTCTTTTGAGAGAGAACAGTGGTGGAACCAGAAGTAGCAACTGAAATGCCAAGAAAATAGGAGACAGAACCAAGCTCTTTCATAGAAAAGGCTTGATGCATTTGAGTAACAAGATCTTGAATATGATGAGCAGCATTACCAGTAACCAATATATCATCAACATAGACCAATAAAGCAAGAAAGACAGAACCAGTCTTTTTAATAAAAAGAGAGGAGTTACATTTGCTGTTCTTGAACCCTTGAGAAAGGAGGAAAGAAGAGAAGGTGGAGTACCATGCTCTTGGTGCTTGTTTAAGGCCATACAAAGCCTTATGGAGCTTGCAAACAGACTGGGCATTAGTTTCAAACCCTGGTGGTTGGATCATGTAGACCTCCTCCTCCAAGACCCCATGAAGGAAAGCATTAGAGATGTCTAATTGCTTAATAGGCCAATGGTGATGAAGAGCAAGGCATAAAAGAATTCGAATGGTTGGTAATTTAGCAACTGGGCTAAATGTTTCCTAAAAATCAATTCCCTCTTGTTGGAGATATCCTTTTGCTACCAATCTAGCTTTATGCCTAGCAATTGTCCCATTAGAATTGCGCTTGATTTTGAACACTCACTTACAACCTATGGCAGTCTTGCCAAGAGGAAGTGGAACCAGAGACCAGGTCTTTTGGGTTTGTAAAGCTTGAAACTCTTCTATCATAGCTTGTTTCCAAAGAGGTGTAAGCAATGCTTCCTTATGAGTGGGAGGCTCAATATCAGAATATGCAGGAGATGCCTTAACAGTGGACAAGGCAGTTTTAGATCTAGTAACCATAGGATGGCAGTTAGTGACAGGAGGAACAGAGGGAACAGAACTAAAGGTAGCAGGAATAGGTAATTGAATAGAGATAGAGTGAATAGGAATAGAAGGCTGAAGTGGTGAAGTAATAAAAGGCAGAGAAGGGTGGGATGAAGAAGGACTAACAGATGCAGTAGGAATACTGCTGAGAGGAGAAGAAGAAGGAGATAGAGAAGAAGTAGAGGGAGCAGGAGATGGAGAATCCCAGAAGAAAGACTGAAGACAAGGCAACTGAGATGAGGAAGAAGAAAAAGAAGACAAGGAAACAAAGGGAAATTTTTGCTCATTGAATACCACATGTCTGGAAAGATAAATGGTCTCAGTTTGGGAATCGAGACACCTATAACGCTTAGCAAATGAATGATAGCCTAATAAAACACACTCAACAGATTTAGGCTGCAATTTTGTAGAGATGTAAGGTTTAAGCCAAGGGAAACACTGACAACCAAACACCTTAAGAACAGAAAAATCTGGGATGCTGTGAAAGAGAATTTCAAAGGGAGTCTTGTATGCCAATTTGGAAGAACGCAATCGATTGATAAGATAAGTGGTAGGAATGGCAACGGGCCGGGGCGGGGGATTACACTCCCCGTCCCCGATCCCCGAAGGCTCAAAAATCCTCATCCCCGCCCCCGATCCCCAGCGGGGGAACCGATCAACTCCCCGTCCCCGTCCCCGTCCCCTAAAGGGGATCGGGTTTCCCCGACCCCGAAAAATTCCCGAGCTTTTTTTTTGAATTTTGTTCAACACAACAACAAATCAATATATATCACTATGTTTTGCCATCATCAACAAATCAATGTGTACACAGTAACACAAATCAGATCATACACAGATTTAAATTTAAAAAAAAATTAATCTGAAAAAAAAAATATGTTTCTAACAACAATATGTTTCATCATCATCAATAAATCAATATTTGTACACAGATCAGATCACACACAGATTTAAATTTTTTAAAAAAAATTGATTTCAACAACAATACCAGAGAGACAGATCTGAGGACACATATCAGATCACACACACAGAGAGCGAGAGATAACAGATCTGAGTTTAGATCTAACAGATTTGAGCGACGACAGTGACCAGGCGCGAGATCGACGGTGGCTGGTTGTGGCGGTGGGTTCGGTGGTGGTGACAGACCTTCTGCGACGGTGGCGGTGGCCATGAGGAATAGAGAGAGACGAAGTGAAGAGAGAGAGAGAGAGAGAGAGGGGGGGTCGGGGCCAGCGGTGGTGGTGGTGGTGTCACCGTGTCGGTGACTGTGAGAGAAAGTGTTGACAGAGAGTGAGGGAGAGAAGAACGAGAGTTGAGAGAGAGTGAGGGAGAGAAGAACAAGAGACACTGAGAGTTGAGAGAGTGAGATGAGAGTCAGAGAGTGAGAGAGTGAAAGAGTGAGATAAGAGAGAAATATATAATTATAATACAACTAATAGGTAGTATATAATATACGCGGGGAAGCTTCGGGGAAATTTCGAGGCAGGGCAGGGCCGGGGCCGGGGCCGGGGCCGGGGCTGGGGCTGAGAAATTAATCCCCGTCCCCGGCCCGAAAATCATCGGGGATGCATTTTTCAATACCAGCCCAGAGAGCGAGAGATAACAGATCTGAGTTTAGATCTAACAGATTTGAGCGACGACAGTGACCAGGCGCGAGATCGACGGTGGCTGGTTGTGGCGGTGGGTTCGGTGGTGGTGACAAACCTTCTATGGCGGTGGCGGTGGCCATGAGGAATAGAGAGAGACGAATTGGAGAGAGAGAAAGAGAGAGAGAGGGGGGGATCGGGGCCAGCAGTGGTGGTGGTGTCACCGTGTCGGTGACTGTGAGAGAAAGTGTTGACAGAGAGTGAGGGAGAGAAGAACGAGAGTTGAGAGAGTGAGGGAGAGAAGAACAAGAGACACTGAGAGTTGAGAGAGTGAGATGAGAGTCAGAGAGTGAGAGAGTGAAAGAGTGAGATAAGAGAGAAATATATAATTATAATACAACTAATAGGTAGTATATAATATACGCGGGGAAGCTTCGGGGAAATTTCGAGGCAGGGCAGGGCCGGGGCCGGGGCTGGGGCTGAGAAATTAATCCCCGTCCCCGGCCTGAAAATCATCGGGGATGCATTTTTCAATACCAGCCCCGACCCTACGGGGAATAATTTTCAGGAAAAAACCTATTTATCGGGACGGGGCGGTCCGGGTCCCCGTCGGACCGGGTTAATATTGTCATCCCTAATAAGTGGCACAAGCAATGGCATCAAACCAGTAATGGAGAGGAACACTAGAGATCACCATCAGTTCTAAAAATCTTTAGAGAGGTAGAAAATTGTTTTTCTGCATAAGCTTTGAACTCAAGAAACTTATCATACACTTCACTCTTGTAAGCTAAAGGATACAACCAAGTGAATCTACTAAAATCATCCACAAAGAGAACATAATGTTTGTAACCAGAAGTGGAAGAAAAGGGACCACAAACATCACTATGTATTAAAGCAAGAGGTTTATTGACAGTGAAATTAGACAATGAAAAAGGCAATCGATGATTCTTTGCAACACAACAATCAACACAGTCTTGAAGATGAATTGAAGCAGAATTCTTAAGCTGTAAATGAGGCCTAAGATGCTTGAATTTCAAACTACTAAGATGACCTAATCGACGATGCTAGACAGTACTAGCAGTAGCAGAGGAACTAGAATGCACTTGTAAAGCTAAACTGGTGTGTGATGCTGCAGTAATAGGAGTAGAAGCAGCTGATGCAGTAGTGGAAAAGAAATGGTACAAGCCATGAAGGTTAGAGCCTTTGTGAAGAATTCTCTTCGTAAACTTGTCCTGAATCACAAAATGAGTATCATCAAAGCTGATAAT